TGATTTCCTTTACCACTATTTCTTTTACTTTTATCATAAAGTAAAAAAAAAGTGGAGTGAATGTTAATAAAAAAATTAATTAGATTAAGTTTTGAAGTACACAAACTCATGCTCTATTTAAGTTCAAAGCTCATTAAGCCTAGCTCCATGAGAAAATTGGTATGTGTCTGATTCAGATACAAGTGCATGTGCAGCAGCAATCCTTTCACCATGAATGCCTAGTTGGAACCTAGAAGCAATATGAGAAGGCTCATAGGTATATTTTGAGGTTGGCCATGGAGCAGTTTGTTGTTGGCTACGAGGATGTGAGTTGGATTTTGCATTAGCCCTTTCAGGATATAAGATTTTTCTCAAATTAATCTTCTTTAACAAAAACATCAGCAAAATTGAGAATTTTTGCTGTATTAGATGACTTAGGTGGTGATGGAGGTGCATTTGTAAGATAAATTATTTCAACCACCATTAATGAGCAAATTATAGAGAGAGGGAGAGAGAATAGTTAAATGTTGAAAGATGGAATTGCTTGATCTTGTTTTATAGGCTCGAAGGCTACTTTACGTTTAATAAAAAATATAAAAAAATTTCGTTAGTTACATTTTTTTTAAAATACTTCTACTTACCTAAAATTGCTAACCCTCACCTGTTTTCAAAGTTTTAAAACTAATAATATAATAACACTACTAATATATATTACATATAGAAGTTAAAATAGGTTGGATAATAGAGATATATTTTTTATTTGCTTGTATCTACATTTTTATTAAGAGTTTTTATCATAATAATCAATGTTAAAGCCTAAAAACATGTGACTGTTTACTATAATTTGTTTAATAAGTTTCATTTTTTTTAATAAATAATGTAAACGAATTTTTAAAAGTTATAAAATGTCCATAAAATTTTATTTTTATCACAACTCTGGGCCTTAGATTAAGGACATGGTCTTTTATTAGTATAATTTATTTTAAATACATCTTATTTTTATTGTAAGTGTGATTAGTTTATCTATTGATTTTTTTTTCATATATGAAAGAGTACTTCTATATTAATTTTTGTTAGATAATGTCTTTCTATAAATCATTTTGAAACTATACATGTTACATAAACATATAGAATGACCAAAATCATGTTTTAATCACCTCGTGTTTATAAATTTTTTGTCATAATTTAATCACTATATATATAAAAGTGGCATTTTAAGTGAGAAGTGAGAGACATTAATAATGGTCATTGGTAAGAAAGAGAAGAAAGTGGATGATGGGATAGCAACATCAAATCTAAGCTCTTTATTTTGATCCAATAGTCACTATTAATGCCTCTTACCTCTCATAATAACAAACTTTTCTCACTTAAAATGCTCCTTTCTCTCTCTCTATATATAGGGCATGATCTTCTTTCTGTTAAGTGTTAAGTTGATTGACGAATAGCTACCTTAGCACTCTCACGTGGCATGTCACATCCTTTACTTTTTTAATATTTTATTATTTAAAATTATAATTATAAATAAGTTTCTGAATATATTTTATATATTTGCAAATAAGTTCCTCTTCTTCTCCTTTCCTGCTATCCACCTTTCCATAACCCCCACCCCATTCCCCACTCCTCTTTCTTAATGCCACCCCTTCCTTGCTACACACCCCACATCCCTAACTCCAATCCTACCTCTTTCCCAACTTGCACATGCACTAAACATACAAGATTTCCAATAATCACTCACAACAATGAAAACAAAAAATAAAGATAAGTGAGTAGAGGTGAGATTGGGAACAAAGGGACTGGGAACAGTGTGGGAAGAGGATGGGGGTGAGGTGGACATATAATTTTAAATAATAAAACATTAAATGATATGACATATTACGTGAAATTGTTGAGCTAACTCTCCATTAGCCAGTTGAGGACTTCATAAAAGGAAGCTAATGATAGGAATTATATTTTCAAAAAAGAAATTTATAAAGACTTATCACATATTTATCTATATTTATAAAGATAAAAATATAAATTTATTTTTATTCAAAAAACTAATATATGAAATTCATGTGACTAAAATTTTAAATTATGTACTTATTTTACTTTTCAATTAATATTATCATTTAACTGTCTTAAGTATTCTTTTCTTTATTTTAATAAAAACTCTTTAGAAATTTGAAAAATATTTATTATGTATATACACATTTAACTTTTTTTATTAAACCTTTCTAACGTTATAACAATTAATATAAAAATAAAAATTTAACTATTGTGAAAATTAAAATATTGTGATTAATTTTTTTTAAAATTAATACATTGACATCTTTTAACCTAATTTCTTAATCTATGGATTTTAAGTGAAATGTTTGTACATATCACACAAAAGTAAATACAATAATATTTACTAAAATTTTGTGAGGAAGTTAAACTTAAGAGGAGAATAGAACTATTTATTTAATAATATTTAAAAAATTTTTAATGTGAGATGAAGTTTTCATAAACTCTGTAACTGTCGTAAACTTAATTTTTTAAGTTGTCATAAATTCTAATTTTTTTTTATTAACTCTTCTTATATTCTTTTCTTTTCCATTCTCCTTAAATTCATCTTCCCTTTTCTCTGCTCTCTCTAAAATACGAACAAGACCTAAATTATTAATTAATTTAACATTTTTTATGTCATTAAAATATTATTAAGTAATATAAAAAAATATTATTATAAATTCAAGTAAAATGATCCTAGTAATAATAAAAAAAACATATATATGATTATACATTTAAAATTTTAATATCATTAACAATTTTTAAATATTTTCTTAAAATAAATAATGATATATTAATTCGTTAACATATGAATAATTTATTTACATCTAAAAACTTAGAATGCAATATACATAATACACATTAAGAATAGGAGATTTTTTTTTGTTTTTTGTTTTTAGATTTAAGAATTAAATAAAAGCAAAACATATATTCTTTTTATGAAAATCTTATAAAATTCAAAAGTATTTAAAACTTTCAAAGAAATAATTTTGAGACTTTAAATTAATAAATAAAACTTAAATTTACGTCTAGCAAATTATTTGATTCACAATTCATACATGTAATCTTAGAACATAATCGATGATAATATATTAGTTAAAATTTATTTAAGAGTTTATAAGTATTTATTTTTAGATCAAATGAGTATTTTAGTTTTTTAATTTTATTTTTATTTTAATTTTGTCTTCTAACTCTTTTTATATTTTATTTTAGACTTCCAATTTAAATGTAATCAAATAATTTATATCTATTAATTATATTTAACTCCATTAATTATTATTTTTGTCTTTTCTTTACTATAACAATTGTCTTGACATAGTTATTTGAAAGTGACTTATTTTATTGATATTAAAAATTAGTTAATCAATTTTAAATTTTAAAAAATTAAATTAGAACAAAAAAAAATTAAATGACTAATAAAACTTATAAAAATAAATAGAAAAATAAAATAAAATTAAAAGACTAAAATATAAAGTGTCTTATTTGTACATACAATCCCAACTAGGTAACTACAATTCTAAAGTTGTTTGTTTGATGAGTTAGATATTTTAAATCTTAAAACTTAATCTCCATGAATTCTTCTTTTATTATTGATGGTGATGGATTTATAACATTAAAATTATGTTTGAATATATTTTTATCATCATATTTTAGTTAAATTTTTATTTAATGTCTTAAAATGATATTTTTTATTTTAGTTAATAATTTTCATGAACTTTTGTTTTTAGTTCTAATTGCTAATATGATCCACTAAAATATTATTAAATATTAACTAGATAGATAAAAAATAATAATTTACTTAAATATGTGGACTAAAATAAAAAAATCATTTAAAGAGACAAAAATTAAAAATATATAAAATATAGTACTAAAAACATATTTAAACCTTAAAATTATCTCTTGAATTAAAACACATTGGAATCAATAAATGAGGCAATAAAAGTAATATTTAATAGCATTTGTATAATTTTTCTCACTTCAACTTAAGAAACTTTTTTTTTTTTTTGTGGATTGATTCTCTTAAATACTATGATGTACATTGACCCTTAAATATTTTAAATAATTTAAATTTTATTTATTTATTGGAGATCTCATTCATCATATTTTGAAACACATACTAGTGGTGTAATAAAAATGACTCAAAAATTAAATCATGAGATCTACAAAAGAATAAAGAAGAGAACATTGACCTTTTTGCTATAAAAGATATGATTTCCAAAAATATATATATTAAGAGAAATATTAAAGAAAGGTGTATTTCATTAAGAAAAACACATTTCAAGTCTACACCTAGATAACATTAACATAATTGAAACCTAACAACACAGTAAACAAAATAATAATAAAAAAGTTGCATAGTTAAGCCACATAATGTGTGGTACAATCACTTGCATCTACCTAAGCGCAACTCTAAATCAACTTGTCCATTAACACTAGCATTCAGAGAAGTGTTTTCATCACCTATCTGCATTTGGGAACCATACATGTTGGTCTTGGTGTTGCTACTAGCTTCTCCATTTGACGGGACCAATAAGAAAGAAGCTTCCTCTGGAAAAAGCATGAGGGTTTGTTGAGGCTTATTATCAATCATAGGCATGGAATTAGAGGGAGATGCACTCATCTTGTCTAAAGGCATGAGGTTATTTGCAAAGAAGGTTTGTTTCCTTGTACAATAGTCCTCAGGGTGTGTGGATAGTAGGTTTGTGAAGAAGCTAGTAGCATAACTTGGAATTTCTTGTTCTGTTTTGTTTGGTAAAAAGTGTTTAGCGATTTCACTCCAATGCCCTTTTCCATACTTGATGATTCCCCTTAGAAGTAACCTAAGATCAAAATAAAATATATATAATAAATTAATGTTGTAGAAAATTAAAAAAGTAGTTACAAAAACACCAACTAATTGATAATTATTAAATGTTGATTTCCTTTACCACTATTCTTTACTTTCACCATAAAAGTGAAAAAAAAGTGGGCTAAAAATTTATTAAAAATTAATTGGATTAAGCTTTGAAGGACACAAACTCATGCTCTGTTTGAGTCCAAAGCTCACTGAGGCTAGCTCCCTGTGGAAATAGGTATGTGTTTGATTTAGGTAGAGGTGCAGATACAGTAGCAATCATTTCACCATGAACGCCTAGTTGAAACCTAGAAGCAATATCAAAAGGCTCATAGGTATATTTTGAGGATGGCCATGGAGTAGTTTGTTCCTGGCTACGACGATGTGAGTTGGATTTTGCACAAGCCCTTGAGGATATAGGATTTTTCTCAAATTGATTTTTTTTAACAGAAACATCAATTTTTGTTGCATTAGATGATCTAGGTGGTGATGGAGGTGCATTTGTAAGATCAATTATTTCAACCATCATTGTTGAAAAAATTACAGAGAGAGGGAGAGAGAATAGCTAAGTGTTGAAAGATGGAATTGCTTACTCTTATTTTATAGGTTCGAAGGCTACTTTACATTTAATAAAATATGTAAAAAATTTCATCAATTATATTTTTTTAAAATACTTCTACCTACCCAAAATGGCTAACACGCACACCTTTTTTATTATATAGTTTAAAAACTAATAATATAATAATACTGCAAATATTATTACATACAAAGATTTGAATATATTTGACAATAAAGAGTATATCCTTACTTGGAGTTGATAGAAACTATTTATTAAAACTATCAATATAAAAGGCATATTTTAAAATCTTATTTAGTTAAGAAAAATCTTAGTTTTACTTGATTTGAAAATTCTTTAAATTTTTAAGGGATGATATATTAATAAATTCAATGTAATTATAATAAGAAAAAAAATAAAAAGTGATAAAAATAAAGCTTAAATGAACTAGGATAAATAGTAAAATCAATGTTGTGAAAAATAAAAAATGGGTACATCATTTTCCTTTTACTTCCACTACTTTATGCATCACCATTATCATTACAATCATTTTGAGTATTTCATACAAAGTAAATTTCTATGCCTTTTATTATTTTTCATAACTACTCTCCTCTTTGTCGACATAGCTTTTGTCAATGAGATTGAAAGTTTCATGTTATATACAAAATTAACTTGTCACAAATGAATTATTTTTTAATCACCAAACCACACTAAAGTTAATTGAATTATGAAATGTTTCTTAATTCATTTATGAGTTTATTTATTTTGATGATATTCATTTATTGGATGCCTGAGTCTTGGCAATGCTTTATGGTTGATGATGTTATCCATATTTATTAGCTTCCATAATCTCTTCAATTTTATGTTTTGATAAAGTTATTGATATTTAACCGTTACTTATGAATTTATTTATTTTGATAATAGTATTCATTTATTAGATGTTGGAGTCTCAGCAATGCTTTATGGCTGATGATGTTATCCATATTTATTAGTTTCCAGAATCTCTTTTACTACTATTACTACTGCTATGCTTTATGGTTGATGATGTTATCCATATTTATTAGTTTCCAGAATCTCTTTACTGCTATTGCTACTTGTCACAACATAGGTCACGATGGGACGACGACCGCGTAGAGAAAAGGAAGAATTATAGAAAAATGTTAGAATTAGTTTTTTGTAGAAAAAAAAGCTGATGCTAGCTAATCGCCACCAAAGTTTATTAAAGAAAATATTAAAACAAATAAAAAAAAATCTTCGAAACTAGATTTTGGTTCGGGGGTCATTTACGTGTAAAGAAGATATTAGTGCCCTACAACGTTCATTGATTAAAACGATTACCTTCTTATTAATTGTACAAAAATTATTTTAACTTTAAAAATGTATATTTCACTTTAAAAGAAAATAATTAATATTTTTTTACTATTTTCAAATTTTTTTTATTATTACTTTTTTAGATTTATTTCAAATTTTTACAATTTTTCATAGATTTTAATTTTATTTTTTAAAATAGAAAAACACAATAAAAAAATTATTTGAATTAAAGAAATGAGTTATTTATAAAAATGCTATTCTTTTTTATTTTTGTATTAAATAAATTTAAATAAAATATGACATAATTTTTTTTTATTTCTTAAAGTAAAAAATTATTTTTTATATTTTCTATTTTTAAATAAAGAACTAAAAAATTTAATTTGAATTGGGAAAGTGGATTATTTATAAAATTTTATTCTATTTTTTATTTTCATATTAAATAAATTTGAACAAAATTCAACTTGATTTTTTTTCTTTTAAGTAAAAATTTGTTTTTTTATAATTTTTTAAATAAAGAAACATAGTTAAAGAATAAATAAATAATTTGAATTGAGAGAGAGAATAAGTTACATAATGTTATTACCCTCTCTTTTTTTATATTAAAGAAAAACAATCCTAAAACATATTATCTTGATGTTTTATTTATCTTTTTTTAAATGAACACAATAATTTCATTTTTTTAGAATTATTTTGAATTACTTTTTGTTTAAAATTTTCTTAAAATATTAAGACCTAAAAATAATTAAAAAAATTTGGACTTGAAAAGTTAAGTTCTCACTCCTACGTATCTTCCATATGCAATGAAAGAATCAAAGCTGCCACGTAATTTATTTTTTTTTAAATTGAGTTTTGTATAAGTTTCAAAGATTTTCTTCCTTTTTTTTTTTTTGAAAAAACTTGATTTTTCTTTATCATTGTTTTTAATAAATTCACTCTTACACAGGATTTAAGTTAGCACACGGCTACTCAATAAATCTTTACGATCCAAGCAACGTGAAAGGTGAATCCTCCCCTATATCAAAATCGCTTGGCTGTTAGGTAGATTCAAAACACTTCCTTTTTTTTTAAATAATAAAAAATTGATGTACCTTTTAATATGAATTTTTGCATGTAAAAAAAAAACAAATGAGAGCTATATAGAATAAATAAACAAATACAAGAGCAAACAAAAATGATGAAGAAATTAGGCTAGGATTTGCAAAGAAATTAGGGATTTTAGAATCTACCAACAAAAAAAAAGTTTTTAAGATTTGAAAAAATTAAATTTTTATAATTTGCAAAATTGTTAGGGTTGAAAAAAAATAGTTTGTTTTAGAGCTTGCAAAAAACTAAATTATTTTGGGGTTAGAAATAAATATTATTTTTAGAGTTTGCAAAAAAATTTAGTTAGAAAAAATTAGTTTCTTTTAGGGTTTGCAAAAAAAGGAATACTTGGAGTTAAATTTTTTTTTTTATGGATTTGGATTTTATTTTTTTTAGGGTTTGACTGTGGGAGAAGAAATTTAGGGTTAGAAAAATTATTAGAATTTATAGAATTTTTTTAAATAAAAATTATTGAATTTTCTCTTTTCATTTATTTATTTATTACACTTGCAAAAAGTATTAGATCATTGATGGAACGATTTTTCACTACTCGTTATGCACAAAGATTGTCGTTAATCCTCATCAAATATGCAAGATATAAATGCAATACTAGGGTGTTGTCCTAGGTTATCTCCAAGGAACTTTTGGTTGGGAACATACATCGAACAAGTGTAAACATATATTTTAAAGCAAGTAAATTGGGGGGAGGTTTGTCAATTTCTAGATTTTAATCAAGAACAGAATGTAAACTAATGAAATTCAATCAATTAAAAAGAGTAATCCCTAGTCAATCAATGAGTTCTATCCCTATTCTTTCAAATGATTCAATAATCCTCTATTTTTCCCTTGAATTAAGTTAATTTAACAAGCGAAAATTAACTTTAGTATCCCAATTAAAATTAAGCATCTTAATGGGCTCCAATTCTCTATCCCTAAGATTAAGCAATCTCAAAGATTAATCAAAATTAAGCAATTTTAGATTAGAATTTCGTTGGGTAATTTAGGGTTCATTAAGCAATGTTCCCCTCATGCAAATTTCATTTCATTCAGAGATTGGGGTTAATAAATCCAAGGAAAGAAAGAGTGATATTGCCATTAAACTCAAGAATTCAAGAACCATATGAGTTGACTAGGAATTACAAGAGAATTTAGCCCTCCATATGGATGGGCTTCACAAATAAAAGAAGAGAATGTAGAAACATAAGCAACATTAATGTAAAATCAAGGAGAATCCAAGGGAAATTGGAAATTAAAACCTATAATGGATCCCTGGCTGTCACCCAAGAATCCTAAGCTCTGCAAAATGCTCCAAAAGTGGTAAAAGAATCTAAGGAAAATCAATCCCCGTACCCTAATTTCTAAAGGTCTATATATACTAAGTCTGACATGGCCCCATAGTGATCACTCTGTAAAACAAGAGAGTAAACACGCGCAGCAACTTTAGCTTTTTCCCTTTTTGGAGTGATTACTCTCATTTGTGAGAGTAAACACGCGCATGGCACTTCCTTCTGGGCGTCTCTGGAGTGATTACTCCCATTTCTGAGAGTGTTTACGCGCAGGACACTTGGGGTCTGGGGCTTCTGGAGTGATCACTCTGATATCTGAAAGTGGTTACTCTGGCCTATCTCTTGAAACCAGCTCCCTGGAGTGATTACTCTGGTATCTGATAGTAGTTACTCTCAGTTCATATTTTTTTCAAAGAGCCAAAAATTCATGAAATTTGTCTAGAATTTTCTGCACAATTATTCAAATGATCAAAATTGCAAAATATATTCACAAAAATTAATGGAAATAAGACAAAAATTAAGAAAGCTATTGTTTTCTACCTAAATAAGATTTTAATGTTATTTACAGCCTCTAAATCTATTTTTTTCTATTAAAACTTTATAAAAATCAAATAAAATATCTATAAAGTGTGGATTCATCAATCATGAAGAAGAAGAGAAGAACATATAAAATAAATAAACAAAGAAGAAGAATCCTTAATAAATATAGGGAGGATGAGAAATAAATAAAGAAGGAGAATCCTTATTAGATAAAGGGATGATGAGAAACAAACTAATGAATAAAAAGGAGAACACTTACTTTATAAAAGTTTTTCTTTTTCCCTCACGGTTAGATCTCTCCTTCGATTTGTACTCTATAATTGACCTCAAGATGTGCTTTAAGATTTTTGGCATTGTCGAATAGCTTCTCTAATCTTCTCTCCTCCTTTTGCTCTTTGTTTCCTGGGTGATAATCGTTCAGATTGCATTAAGATTTGTCACCAATCCTCATCAAAATATGCAAAAAAAATTTATGTAGTCCAGGATGCAAGCCTAGATTGTCTCTGATGACTTTAGTTGGGAATGTGCATCATTATCAAACATGTCACTACCATTAACTACGAAAGCAATTAAATGGGAGGGGGGGTTTCCAAATTCAATATAAAGAGCAAGAAACAAAATTGTAAAGTTCAATCAATAAAAACTAGTAACCCCTAGTTCATTCATGTAGACTCTATTCCTATCTCTCTCAAGATTTAATACTCTTCCTTCTCCCCCAAAATTAATTTTAACAAGCGAAAATCAACCTTATAT